AATAACATATAGTGATGTCAGGGGCAGCATTTTGAGGGACAAAAGGCTGTGTGTCTAGCAGTTCATGCAATTTGAGGGATTATCAACTCCTTACGAAGATGGATTATACTCCTTATTTCTTGATATATAAAAATACGCATTCATATTTGACATAGTTGAAAATATTGTGGTGCCTTTAATTTACTGGGGCTACGTTTGGGAAGGAAAATTCACTTTGATATTGAGAAAGGGGCGTTGACATTCCCTTGATGTTGTGAGAAGTGTGTTCATTGAACGTTGAAAGAAAATGGTAATTATAATGGATTATGTAACAGATAATGAAAAGAAGATCTGAACTTAAGATGAAAATTTCTCTTTTGAACTGCGTATACATTTTAAAGCTATGGGTGAATAGGAATGCCTCATCAACAATTGAGGTATGGATCTGAGAATGAAAGTCAGGGTTAACGGAAGGAAGATGTTATTATTCCCCCTTAGTCTCTATCATTGAGTGGAAATCTATGCAACCTTGGTGGGTTTAGAGATGTATTTACTCCAGCTGGAAATATGCATTACAAAAACTGTAATTATATTAAAGTTCAATCCCTTGATATGTGTATTGTGGAAAAGAATTGTTGTGAGAACTTTTGTTTTTGCATTAACGAATTCTCCAAACGTCGAAAATTCAGGAATGTAAAGTGAAGAAAAAAGATTCCCCGCCATATCGTACTTGGAGGTATAGATTTTAAGACTCAAGAATGTAAGCCTTGTGACATTCCATGAGATATAATCTGGTTGGAAGTACCATGCAATTTAAAGCACCAGTCAAAACTCATGAATGTAAAGAGAAAATAGTACCCGCCAATTTGTACTAATGTAGGCATAGGTTTGCCTTATTGCATTCCACGAGATGTCTAGCTTGTTACTTAATCTTTAAAATGTGTCATTAGAGGAATGTGAACACTGTACAACGCAAATTATAGAACGGGTTCCTTTTAAAGATATTTACAAATGGAGAGGGGGAGTGGTTTGGTGTGCATGTGTGTGTGTCTGTGTGTGTAACTTAATACATACATGTACATCGCATTTCTCTTTCCTTTTCCATTTGGTGAGCAAAGTAATCCAACTAATCAATAGCCATGAACACGTGAGAGGCTTCCTCAGCTATGATTGGTCCGCGAGAGCTGGAGGGCGAAAGTGTTTCTTTTGTTTCTTTTCGTCACCGGCTTCTCGTGGTCACCAACGCCGGACATGCTGATTGGCTGAATGGTCTTTGCGGCAGCAGGAGGGCGGGACGTGTTTTGAGACAAGTCTCGTCTCCAGCTGGTCCTAGACATTTCAGTTGATCGAGATAAATGGCATCTGAAATATACAACATAATTGTCGATTTGTTTCTGCTCCCCCCCCCCCTTTAATAGTAAATATCCATGTAATCTTACAATCTTAGCAGGAGGATTAACGTTAGTGCCTTGTGAAGTAATAATTAGATCTCGTCACCGGCTGCTTGTGGTCACTGTCTATGACGGCAGGTGGGCGGGACGTTGTTCTTTTATTTAGAAAAGTCTCGTCCCCAGCCAGTTTTAGACACCAGCGAGGTCTTTAAATCAACTATAAATTTTATATCTAGACTCTGTTTTGAGAGAAATTAAAAGGGGAAAATAAATAATGCCCTTTTACGGTTACCTTAAGCCGGTCGTTAACAGTGAAAGGAAAAGAAAAAAAAAGAAGAGGAATAGTTCAAAAGTTAATTAATTCGTTTTCTTAAAAAAGAACTCCTTATATACTGTAAAGTTTATAATGGTATCAAAAGCCATTTGGTGGGGTACAAGCTGTTGAAGCTTAAAGTATGCACGGGGTTTATCTATTACGTTCGTTTATTACGTTTTTTTTCTTTTAAAATATTATATATAGCCGTTTGAGCCTGGGGCTAAAGTATCATTAGTTACACATTATCTGAATCCGTTAATTATGAGGTCAAGTTATATCGTCTGGAGTTACTGTTTTATTTTCGGTGTTGGTTTTTTTTTTTTTTTTTTTTTTTTGTCACAGTAAGAAGACTGTATTAATACTTTGTGTAAAAGGCTGCCACGCCATGATTTAGAATAAGTGATGGGAGGGGTTTCGAACATGCCAGCATATATTATGCTTATGTGTATGAATGTGGTTGATAGTGTTGAAGGGTGGGGTGATGGTATGTGTGGTATGTTTTCCGGTTCCGATGTCTGCCTGTACTTGTTTAATTTGCAATCTAACTTGAAAGCGTTTGTTTTTCCTAGAGTTGGAAATGCATCAAGCTTCCCATCTACTGTGAAACTGTCACCACTATGTACATTTCTAAAGGTTTTTTGTTACAGATATAGATTCATAGTTCTTGATGTCGGTTAATTTAAAATTACTCTCAATTAATGTCAGAGGACTGAGAGATAGAGTTAAAAGAAAGAAGATTTTTCAGTGGTGCAAAATGTCGGCAAATATGATATTCTTGCAGGAAACCTTTAGCACAGAAGACATTGAATACAGTTGGAAGGGTGATTGGGAAGGCTCAATGTTTTTTAGCCACGGGAGTAACCACAGTAGGGGGGTTATTGTAATGTTTAAACCAGGTATTACTTTTGTGGTGGAAAAAACCTTAATTGACGAAGGGGGAAGATACGTCATCATTAAAGGCAAATGTCAAGGCGAAAAGCTAATATTAGGAAGCGTGTACTTTCCCACAAGGAATAAAGAAAACGCCCAATGTGATTTTCTGTCTGATCTAAATAAAATAATTTGTTCTGTATTAAGTCAAGAATATTCCTTGATAATTGGAGGAGACTTCAATGTTATTATGAATCATAATTTGGATTACATGGGTGCAAGTAATATTTCGAAAAGCAAATATAGGCAGGAGGTAATTCAAAAGTTACATTTAATCGAAATTGACATTGATGATTGGAAACCCATTTTTATGGGAATATCCGGCAATACTGCGAGAATATTTGTAATAAATTGTATCATATTTTTAGTAAAGTATATCATTTTTATTTCTAGAAAAGAAGGAACTTTGCCATCTGTACAGAAAACAGTACATATGCTTAAAAATTACAGAGACGAGGAATACAAAATAGCCTTCAAAAAGGGGAAACTGGGGATGCACTTACAGAAATGGGAACAAATCGATGCATTTTTACTTTAATGGATGTGGGTATTATTATTATTAGTAGTATTATTAATTCTCTCTCGTGTACAGGTGGACAAACCGGAACAGGTTGCATGCAGTGTGTGTGTCGGCGTGAAGGGGGTATGATGAGATGGGTGGGCTAGGGGGGGGGGGGGGGGTTAAGAGTTTGTGTGGTGTGAGTTGAGGGAACAGGTTGCATGCAGTGTGTGTTTGTGTTTGTATGTGTGTTTATGTGTGTGAAAGGTGGTGTGGGTGGGCTAGAGGGGAGGGGGGGGGAGTGTGAGAGTGTTGTGATAGGATGGTAATATGTAATTTTAAACCTTCCTCTACTGTTATTTTGATTATTCACTGTTACATGCAAGACTTTTTTTTTTCCTTTTTTTTTTCTCTATGTTCATTGATTGATGTAACTTATGAAATGTCTTGTATAAAAGATCTTGTTTTATATTGCTTATCTTGATAATTTCTTGTTATGTGAATTTCTTGTTATGTGAAATTGTGAGGAAGGAAATAAAATATCATTTAAAAAAAAATAAAAAAAAAAATATGTAAATTGTGAGGAAGGAAATAAAATATCATTTAAAAAAAAAAAAAATACACTATCCATAGCTATACACTATAAACCTTCCTCTACTGTTATTTTGATTATACACTGATACATGCAAGACTTTTTTCCCCCTTTTTTTTCCCTTTATGTTCATTGATTAATGTAACTTATGATATGTCTTGTATCAAAGAATTTGTTTTATATTGCTTATCTTGATAATTTCTTGTTATGTGAATTTCTTGCTATGTGAAATTATGAGGAAGGAAATAAAATATCATTTAAAACAAAAAAATCTACACTTTAAACCTTCCTCTACGGTTATTTTGATTATACACTGTTACATGCAAGAATTTTTTTCCCTTTTTTTTTCTATGTTCATTGATTGATGTAACTCATGAAATGTCTTGTATCAAAGATCTTGTTTTATATTGCTTAATTTGATAATTTCTTGTTATGTGAATTTCTTGTTCTGTGAAATTATGAGGAAGGAAATAAAATATCATTTAAAAAAAAAAAAAAAAAATATGTATTCCGAGCAATTTCTATTTTTATTTTTTATTTCTGCTTCGCATCTGGCATCATCGAAAGTAAAGCCTTCAATATAATGATAATAATATTTGATCAATGAGAGGTCTTTTTGTTTCTGCTTGTTTGAAGTAGTCAACTAATTTGTTGGCAGATTTGTTCAACATCCCCCCTCCCCCCTCAATCAAAATGTTTTTGTCGACGCACCCCCGCCCTTCTCTCTCCCCACTCCTTTCTCTGCGTCAGTTTATTAATAGATGGACAGATTAAGGTAGGGTTGTTATTATTTTTTGACGGTCTAATCTGTTTGTAGAGATGAATAATGATATGATTTAAAGAGGCTTCATGTATGCCTCGACTTAAGTAAAGACACACATTACTGTTACATCCAATTCCATTGCTTACTGGAAAATTGAAAACGGCTTTTAGGCAAATATTTTAGCAATGACCCTTTACGTGTTTCAGTTTATTACTCATAAATGAGCGCGACTTAGATAGAAAGGACAAAACTGGTAGGTATTGTGCAAATACCAAGCGCCGTAAAAGACTGTACCTGCATGCTTAGTGGGTTGGAATACGTGTTTAAGCGCGTTGTGGATAGAGAGTGGCGCATCGTTGGATTTTGCAGCCATCAATCGGAATATAACAATGAGATTAGATTCAAAAGGGATATAATTTGATCTCATTTTGCTCATGATCGCAACAGCGTATCCATGTTGATAGCGACGCTTTTACTCGCCCGCGTGTGGATTCATACAAATCCACCTTTATTTAAAATGACAGCAGCCATATGCCAAACTATGAGGCTTATATAGGCCTATAGTCTCCAGCACTTTCAGCTAGGAACGTCATTGAAAAAATGAACTGTCATTAAAATAATTATTAGCTGATTTGGGTAGCTGAAATTTCTCTCAGCCGCTTTGCCTTTTCGCCTGTCTGTGATAGCTTGTGCTTGCGACATGGATGGAAATATGGAGGGAAAACGATCTATTGTTGGAATCGTCATTCAGGTATAGGCGTGAGTGCTCGGTGTGCATATTATGTACGATAATTATGTATTTTCATTGTAAGTCTATCAATGGTCTGAATGATTGCAGGCATATTTACAGGACGACCTGAGGTAATGTTTCTCTCAAATCATCGACCTAAGTGTATTAAATGGTTACCATGGTTACCAGGCAATGCATTGCTAGGAATGATTGCAGGGCATGCATGAAGATAATATACTTAATTAACTACACCAGAGTATTATTATTAATAGTAGTAGTAGTAGTAGTAGTAATGGTGGTGGTATAGTAGTAGTAGTTGTAGTAGTAGCAGTAGTGGTGGTGATGGTGGTATAGTAGTAGTGGTAGTAGTAGAAGTAGTAGTAGAAGTAGTATTAGTAGTAGTAGTATTAGTAGTAGGCCTAGTAGTAGCAGTAGTGGTGGTGGTGGTGTAGTAGTCGTCGTCGTCGTCGTCGTAGTAGTAGTAGTAGTAGTAGTAATGGTGGTGGTATAGTAGTAGTAGCAGTAGTGGTGGTGGTGGTATAGTAGTAGTAGTAGTAGTACTACTACTACTACTTCTAGTGGTGGTAGTATAGTAGTAGTAGTAGTAGTAGTAGTAGTGGTGGTGGTGGTGGTGGTGGTGGTATAGTAGTAGTAGTAGTATTACTACTACTACTAGTGGTGGTAGTATAGTAGTAGTAGTAGTAGTGGTGGTAGTAGTAGTAGTAGTAGTAGTAGAAGTATATAGTAGTAGTAGTAGTAGTAGTAGTAGTGGAAGTAGTAGTAGTAGCATAGTAGTAGTATACATCACCATCATCATCATCGTCATCATTACCATCATCCTCATCATTTTATCATCATTCATATCATTATTATCACTATGGAGATCGAGGGGCATGTAAAATTCTAAACAACTGAATGTGAAACATTTACGAGATGTCTTGCAACAACCCCAGGGCAACAAAAGACTGTACACATGCGGTAACGCAATCACAATAGGCTTGCGTGACGCTAATGCTTTACGACAATAATATTTAGACCTGTCAAAAATCTAATGAAGAATAAACTTGTACAGTGAAACATGTCTATAAAGACCACCCAAGGTAGACAAGACAAATAGTCTTTATAGTCAGGTGGTCTTTGTACAGGTTCCCAGTACATGATTTAATGAGAAACCATTTTCAAGCTAGGGAAACAAAGAATGTGGTCTTTGTAGACAGGTGGTCAAAAAAGCAGGTTTGAATGTATATAATTACATGGACTCACATTTTTGTTGTTGACTGTCTGATAACGGAATATTACATTTTCAATTATACTTCATATCATGCATTATATTCCACATACTAAGAATCTTGCTCTACGATTGGTCAAAAGTAAATCACGTGATGAAAGATAGATCGCCCATTATTGATGGGAGAAGCAAAAAGTTCGTTACACTGTGTAGATAGTACTACTATCTACACAGTGCAACGCACTTTCACTGAAGATAGAGGTACTATCTACAAAGCGCAACGCACTTTCACTGAAGATTATCCAAAAGCGCACTAAAACAGGCGTAATTAAGCCCGCATTATATTACCAATGAGCGCAATTAAAACAAACACATGCGCGCACCGTACCCTCAAGGGGTTGGGTTAAACTAACCTTTTTGGTGTGAATTTGGGCATCGTGTATTTTATGTAGATGCATACACGTCCTTTTCTTTTTGTAGTTAAATTGTTTTAGATGTGGAATATTAAAGCAAATAATCACCTTTTGATTTTAGGCGATGGCAAACTATCACTTCCTCGTCGATCATGATGTATACGCTATCTTTGTTACCTTTATTTATAATGTTTAGGTTCCTTGGACACCCTTCCTCCTTGCATGCATTATAATAACACTAGCTCCGGCCTTTCATTGTCAAGGTATGTAAATCCCGATCGCACTGACTACGATCTGACTACGATCCGACTACGATCTAATTTTGGCAGAATTAGTAATAGCATTTGATACGAATATTCGCTCATGTAAATTCTTAATGATCAAGGATCTGAATGAATAATCATTATGATCTTTAAGCAAATATAAATTCCAAGGGACTTCAAGCTTCCTTGGAGGAGGAATAGCTAAATCGGCGGAGAATCGTAGTGACATCAGACCAATAGTGCGGTTGTCTACGATTGAAAGGCGATACGGCTTTCATTCTGACTGGAATGCTTAAATGAAGTACAATTCCGGTCGTTAGTATTCTTATCATTATTTAGAACCTTAAGAAAAGATGGTGATGTTGATTTAGATTTCGAGATCTATAATAATTGGCATTCATGTAAAGTCGGATCGCAGTTGGATCGCAGGAGGATTGTATCATGGGGTAATTGGGTGGTCTTTATAGACATGTTTTAATGTACAACTTTATTTCTTCATTAGATTTTTGACAGGCAGGCGTAACCATAGTAACCATAGTACAGACACCTCAAAATTCAATATTCTAATATTAGCCTTACAATATTACTGCTTGATTAAAATTAAAAATAATTAATTGCCCAGATGCTGTTTGGTAATGGCTTATCAATGTCGTGAATTTATATAGTTTTATTCCAATTTTTTTCTTCAAGTTTAGAATGTCGCAAAGATTGGTAATTTTAGGGAATCCGATAATGATATGGTAAGAATTCATTCAGCTTCATTAATTCCCCAATTATGACTATTTATCTTTTACTAAACCACAGAAGATCAGCGAGTTTCTACAATCAGATTTTTATTTTGCCCTCCTCCTTTCATCCTTTCTACTTTATTTCAAAGCGTCCTGTCCTAGTGGTTCGATTGGCCGACTGGAATACTGCTACACACTCCACAATGAGCCGTTGTCATGGCGACTCGCAGGGTCGCAATGTGGCTTTGATGGCGGTTTCTTGACCTCCATAGTGAACAGACAGGAGAATGACTTTCTTGTAGGTAAGGTGATGTTCAACTTTTTTTTTTGTTCTGCTGCTGGGAGCTTCGACAAGTAACATTAGTAGGCGTAAGAGGGGAAATGTATGTAATATTAAAAGGACAAGGAGGAGAAGAGGGCAGGATGCGGAGAAGTGTGAGGAGGAGGAGAAGCGGAGGAGGAAGAAGAGTAGGAGGAGGGGGAGGAGGGGGAGGGGGAGGAGGATGAGCAGTAGTAGTAGTAATACTAGTGGTTGTAGTATTAGTGGTAGTATAGACTATATTAGTAGTAACAGCTGCAGGAGCCCGCAGCAAATCTAGTAACGGCAATATGAATAATCTTTTAAATTATTTTACACTTTGATTCCTCTTAAAGACTACGGATTATCAAGACGGATAAGTTATTCTTAATAATTTTAAGCTTAACTTATTAAACACCAACAATGATGTATACGCATCACGAAAACGAACGAATAAAGATAAAATAAATCAATACATTGTATTTTTCAAATATATATTTGAAGAGCTTAATTCCAAAAGGAGCTAAATCCATTTTTGATGAAAATTGAGTTAACATTGTTCACTTAAGTACGTGTCTTTTAACAAAATGATTTACCTACATTTTGGGAGCAATTATGAAAAAATGAACCTTCTAATATCACTTTTACCTCATTGACTGTACACAATCTGGTAAACATTTCCTTTTTTCTCTAAAGTTACAAAAATAGATTTAGCTCCTTTTGGAATTAAACTCTTCATTTGTTGGGATCTTCCCAATTAGAATCCTTTGGAAACCTGACATCTTTAGCATGGATAGGAATGGATTCGAGAGGGCGCTGGTTAGATGGGTCAAGTTCTCAGCTTTTTTACAATAAGTAAGTCGATGCATGTAGTTACTAGGCTAGTAACTCCATGGTCGATGTGTGTAATTTAGTGTATACTTCTCATGTATTACTATATTAAAGCTAATCTTGAGTTCTGGTATTGGAAACGTATTTTGAGAGAAATTCGCTACGATTTATTCTGGATTGTTTATCCTGCAGTAGATTGATTATAAAGATTGAAATAAAAACAAACGCACAAAAGCTTACTGAGCACCATCTTCCGGATAACACCCCATTTTCCATTATAGTGACATGTGTTAAGTACATGGTGTCGGGCCTACTTACCCGTATTTTCTTATATCTTTCTTTGCTCACGATCATATTCAATTGCTTAGTTTGGATACATTTCTATAGAATCATATGTCTCTCTCATTATTAAGCCACTATATATTTCCTTACAAAATAGTTGGCACATGTCATTTGTAATCTTGAACATTCAGTGGAAGTTTCGTTGGATTCCGTGAAAATTCATTTACTATATTTACCAGGAGTCAAGTTTATCTTTGGATGCAGAGGAATGGAAATCACTCTTGTAGGAGGCGTAGCAGGGACCACATTCTTTGGAGTTAAATCCACTCCACATTATAGTGGAGTCCACTCTAAAGAAGTGATTGAATCATGGATTTAAATATTTCTTGCCTGGATTCCACTCCAAACAAAGTGATTCCTATTCCACTCCAAAAAGTGGACTTCCACTCCAATACATTCAGACTTCGGAGAGTATTTTTCAAGTGAAATTTCAAGTGAAATCACTGAAATGATATTTCCCTCTTACGGTCACATTCCATTGCTTAATTCGGATTCATTTCGATAAAATTACAGGTCTCTCCATTAGAAAAATATGTATTACACTATTTAGCTAACTATGTCATATACATTGCAGGTGAAATTGTCTGTTTATGGAATACTAATTTTACCTATCTTTTGGTTTATATATCTAGTCTATATAGTAGATAGAATTGGTTTATATCTCTTATTCTCTATTTTCTGGGACTCTGATCATGTTTTACATATTCTAAGGGCGCATATACACTGTTAACGACAGTGAAGAATGACGAATTGTATTTATTTTCTTTATTATGTATTTGTACAGCTTTAGATATGAGACATTGAGCACACTGAGTTGTTCAGTGATTGACCTGGATAGAAATGGAAGATGGAACGTCTCAAGCTGTCTAGATTCTAGACTCGACTTTATCTGCAAGAAGAATAAAGGTTTGTTCTGAATATCTGAAAGATCTCCTCACTATAAAGCAATCCCATTACTCACTCCGTTCTTTTGCCTCTACCATCCTAGAAGTCCCCAGAACCCGAACTACCCATTAACGGGACCGTGCATTATTTTGTGCATGTTTTTTCACCAGTCCTCTGGAACAAGCTGCCAAGTGCCATTCGAAACATTCAATGCCTAGAAACCTTTCAGAAACATGTTAAAACGGTTTTATTTACTCAGAGTTAAAAATGATATAATGGTGCTTGTAAGTGTCGGCTTGCCTGGTGATGTAAATATACAGTAGGCTTGCAGGTGCACCATGTGAGAGAGACTCCTCAATCCTCCCTCTCTCTCACATGGTGAACCCGCAAGCCTACTCTATAAATGATATAATGTTAACATTCTGGAGAGAGATTTGTATATTGTGTAGTTTGTTTTGTATAGCGCCTTGAGTAAGTTATTAGATAATTGCGCTTCATGAATATTTATCATTATTCATTACCATTTTCAAAAAGATCATAACACAAACATATTTAGCTATATACAATTATTAACCGTATCAGACATCTGAGCAGGGTAATCGCGTCGTCCGTAGTCGTATACCTGAGTAGCCTCGAGTCAGGCCTTGGGAAAAACACGTAGTCTCGTCATGCTACACCCCCTATAAACCCTTCATTCGTTCATTCATTACCATTTTCAAAACGATCATAATACAAACATATTTAGCTATATACAAATATAGTTCTGCTTCAAATATATTGTCATGTATTTAAGTTGTGGGGTAGTAAATAAAACGTCTTGAATTTTACAAAACGATATGGAAAAGTTATGACCTTTAGGAAAATCGTTTTCGATAACGTAGAAAACATGCTACAAACACACCAATGTTTGGTAACTATTCCAAAATAACATTGGTAGAAAGGACACATGCATTTTCCTTTTCTACCCAATGTTGGTTTGAACTACTCCATTTTCTCTAGCTATATAGTGGGAATACGTTTCTACCCAATTTTAGTGAATTGTACCCCCAACTTCCAATTGATTAGGTTGTGTTTGGTAATATGATTACTCTTCCATTGTATCTGCATTAGCATCTTATACAGTTGTAGACATGTTAACTGTTTTGTCTGGTTCTAAGACACCTATACCCCTGGACATCAACCCCGGATAACCACCCCCTAGGACGACTACCCCCGGGACTATACCCCCTAGGACAGCTACCCCGGGACAACTAACCCCTAGGGCGACCACCCTCTAGGACAACTACCCCCGGACAACTATCCTAGGGGGTATTTGTCTGGGGGTAGTTGTCCAGGGGTAGTTGTCCGGGGGAAGTTGTCCTAGGGGTAGTTGTCCGGGGGTTAGTTGACCGGGGTAGTTGACTGGGGGTGGTTATCCGGGTGTGGATGTCCAGGGGGTAGTTGTCTGGATACGGTTTTGTCTATTTAATTTAATTTATTGACATGCCCTGCCTGATTTTTCCTAACATTACAGATGTTTCGGGTGGGAGAGACTCTCCTGCGCCTACAAACGGCGACGATGGAGAAGAAGTGGAGGGATCATCAGGAAATTCTAATACCACACTCACATCTGTGCTCTCGGTGCTTTTTTTCTTCGTACTCACCGTTGGCTGCTCGGTAGGAAAATGCGCGGTGGGAAAGTGTTTGTGTAAACGCACAATCGATATGCTGGATCGATTGTGTAGCTGCATAAGGGCTCGTTTGTGCGGGTGGCTATACGAATGGTTATGCGTTATAGGACTTGCAATCCAGGTATGCTTTTATCGATGCTTTAGGTGTGGAGGCCTGTGCAAAATACGAGAGGAAGGAACGGAAAGGGCGGAAAGTATATCATCCTATGAGTATGATCCTGAACCTCGAGGAGCGTTAAATTGCTTTCGATGTCTAAGGTGTGCAGGGCTGTGCAAAAGGCGACAGGAAGGAACGGAAGGTGCGTCATCCGACGATCCTGAAATTCGAGAAGCGTTAAATTGGCATCCGCTAGCCGAAACGGGACCGGATGATCAATCACGAGCCACGCCATCAGCGCCCGCAGAGCCACACACAGACCCGCCTCCAGCGTATGGGGACGTCACATCTAATCGTCCGCAAAGTACGCCAACAGCCCCACAGCCGTCACCGCCGCGTGACAACAGAACTGCGCCTCCGTCCTACGACGCAGCTTTGAATCCAACTTTTGATATTCGACCTTCAAACATTAGAGATGAGACCACAAAACCCCCATCCTACGAGTCAGTAGCTAGATCTTAAAAGCAGTTTATTACAATTTGATAATGTTATAGTTTTTAGGGGACGTCTTATTCTAGAGGTGTATATATAGTTCCTCCAGGAGGAAATTAACTTTTTGGGGAGTCGTACTATTATGGATCACTTCACTGGCGTAGAAAATCACTTTCAAAGATTCAACCAATAGCTGAAATTTGACATTTTGTTCCGTTGGGGGGGGGGGGGGGGGTAAGGTCACCTTTTGTGGTCAGTCATTGCCATAATTTTTTTTTTTTTTTTTTTTTTAATTGAAAAAAAAAGTCAAAAAGGGGGGGGGGAGGGGAGGTTTCCTAAAAAAAACTTACACAAAATATACATATAAAAAAAACTCAAGGGGGGGGGGTTTAACCTCTCATACCAGAGGTCCTGTGTTTTGACACATTAATTCCTCTCTAGTACCCAGGTGTACCTTAGCCTTTAAACAAGGCCACATGCCTGGTAGACGCCGAGCGACTAAAAAGAGACTAATCGCGAAAACCTGAATGAACGCCAGTGCGAATTGTCCAGACCTGTGTCATTCGGTCGCGCGTTCAATCCGGGTATCTAGACTCATCTCAGCCGCTTAGCCAGAGTCAACGAGGCCTCGTCAAAAGGCTAGGTGTACCTGTGCCCCGTTTCATATAACCTGTTATAGACCTCACTTAAGAAATCCAGCCATCTGATTGGTCGAAATTGCAGTCATGGTTTTAGCCATTGCCGTAAATAAACGAAAAATTCCAAACCCATGTAATAGTTCTAGGGTAAAATCCCTGCAAAATTCCAGTTACCGGGAAAGTAGTTCAGTCTTGCTGCAACACCCATTGGTTTGAGCGAGCGCGTATACCATACATTGTGTGTGTGCGAATTGGTCGCTAGACAGCAAGAACACCAAAAGGTACGTAAATTAGTCTTATAGATCTAGATTGTGATTTTATTGGTTGCGATAACGGTGATAGAGGTATTGAAAATTGTATAATGCAAGTGTTTGAATTCATTTGGTGGATGAAAAGTTGAATTCTACGCCGTTTTGTGTGCGTCATTGCAGCGCTGAATTTGGTGTGTTTGTCGCTAATTTCTGACAAATTTAGATAGCTTTCCTGATGGTGTTTCATGCAAAATTTCTGTTATACTTATAAACACTGATTCTTGTCCTTACCTTTGACTTGTTATAGTAATTTAATAGATGAATTACTTGAATTCTGAGCACATTTCAGTAACACAAAAAAATCCAGCCCGTTTATAGTCCCACACACGTATTTGCATGTATACCTTGTGCCCTTACACTGCACAGTCTGCTGTCAAAGACCCCATTATATATTTTATTCAACAAACTAGAGAAACGTCAAGGTGGTTTCATCAGTTGACTCTTTTTTCAGTATATAACAGTAACAATGACGGCTTTAATTTTCGAGAAATAGTTGTTTTTATACGCTCTCGGGGAGGCTACAATCGAGCTATTGCCGTCGGGAAGCCCCGGGCATTAGCTCGATTGTAACCTCCCCTTGAGCTAATAAAAACAACTATGTCTCTCAAAGCAGTAAATATTACTATATTATCAATAACACAAGTGCTAAATTTCTATGACCAATATTCTCTTAGCCAATCAAATGTATCGATTTCAGTAGCTTATAACAGCTATTGTTACTTGTTATTGATAACACGTTTGATGAAACAGGGCCCTGGGAATTGCTGTAAAGTATAAAGAAATAACACTGCAGAATTGATATCATATTTCATGTTATAACTGCTCGGTTTAATTGGACATCTTGCTGTCGTTGTCTTGTATAGGCCATATACCAAACGTAATATTCGTAATGAAATGTCTGATTTAAAACCATGTCTGTGAGAATGAAATAAATTTCTCATACTTATCATACCTTACTATACGAAAAATGCTATTCAATTACTTTATATTCTTAGTAGAAGACGTGAACATACCCCCACCGTCCCCTTTCTGTTACTAGTGTTAAGAAGAGGAAACATTCTAAAATGTAATGAGCAGTTTAATATAAAGTACTATGGCAATTCTAATTATAAAAAAATAAACACCACCATTGCAATTATTCATGATCAAGTTAATTTTACGTTCTTAAATGGACGAATAGTTTCTATCACAAAATGTGCAAAGATTCGGCTTGCTTGTAACCGTTCAGGGCTTTCAGATTTTGCCTTCTCCTTATTGAAGTGTTTCTTGTGCTTAACGATTATGTTCCATGTAATTTATATCTTGTATTTGTTATGTGCATCCTGCCAATTGCACTCTTGTATTCTCGTATCCGGACATCCCCCACCCCCCGGATGCATTTTTTTCCTAACCTAGCCATCCTACCGCTGCATTCGATTGGCTCAATAGGAATCTATACGTCATGCGCTAATCATAAATATTCATGATACGCTCTCACACAGAAGCTGATGCGATAATTTATAAAATAATGAAATTTCATACCAAAATTACAAATGCAACAGCTATGTTTTTAAATAAATGACATTCCGAGAAAATCTGGAGGCTTGTACCGTAAACAAAAGACTACACAGGTCGTAACTTGTCCATAATCATTGCAACATACTAGTTAGTCAGAAATCTGGCCAACGCAAATCTTCCTATATTCTAATATTAATATGGAGCGCTAGGATGGCTAGGTTAGGAAAAAAGACGCCCCCGGATAGCCACCCCCAGTCAATTACCTCCTAGGACAACTACCCCTAGGACAACTCCCCCCGGGCAACTATCCTAAGGGGTAATCCACCTGGGGTAGTTGTGCGGGGGAGACTTGTCCTAGAGGGTAGTTGTGGGGGGGGGGGGGGGGGGGGGAGTTGTTGACTGGGGGTGGATGTCCAGGGGGTAGGTGTCCTAGAACCTGAATTCTACATGGCACTGTGTCATGGACCTCGGTTTCGAATGTTTAATTATTTTTTGTACTGCTGTTACGACTAATATTTCTAATAAATTGTCTATACCATAGTCATGATCATGATGATAGTCATTTTATACACGTACACAAATGATTTGAACCTGATAATTTCTATTTCTTTACTTTGTTTTGTTTCGGTTTTTTTTATACCGCTTTGATGTTTTGATGTAAACATTTTTTCATTGATATATATATATATTTTTTTTTTCTTTCCCATTTGCTATGTTTTCTTTATATATATAAATATATATTTTTGAATGCTTTTTTTTATATGATTGTATGGTTGATGTAAACATGCATTTTTAGTCTCTGGACTTTTTGACAAGTCGTGAATAAAACCTTATTTGAATCTTTAATCTTGAATCCTGGTGTTGATTACTTTGATTTCATTTGATTTCTGCATTTTTTTAACAAATATAATAACTTAATATCAAAGAACATGTAAACGTAAGGTATAATACAAAATATAAAAACTATAATAACTTTTGTCTTTTTTTTTCATTTTTTACATATGTACAAATAATAACGAGGCTTAATATTTCTATAACATATTATTATAAATTTAAAGTATTATCCAAGCTATCTGTTGAAAAGGTGAAGGAGACCGCAATCATAAGCGATGCTTGACTAGGATGGCGGCCTCAAAAAAATAATCTTAAGGTAAAACTTAAAATGAAATAGTGTTCATTCAAACGATCTTTGTGATCTTTGTGTAAGAGGCGATCTTAAAGGGCAAGTCCACTCCAAAAATAACTTACTCACAATAGAAGCAGAAAATGAAGACAAACCAATCAAAAAAGGTTTCTATTGAAAGTAAGTTATTTTTGGAGCGGACTTGCCCTTTGAGAGTAAGAGGTTTTTATAATCATAGTATACATTCTTATTAGAAATTTTTGAGGAGTGAAAATTGGTTTCAAAATATGCGTTCGATTCCAGTTCTGTCACGTTGGCAATGTGTTATGCATTCTTCAAAATCAGACAGACCTATTACAATAAATCTCCATTTTCTCTAAGAAAAGATTAATGCTAACGCTTATTTTTGTTGGTATTTCTTAGAAAAACTGATTCATAAGTGGTATTTGTGTGTGTATATTTGCGTGTGAACTTATTTTTTTTAAACAAACGTTTATCAATCAAATCTGCTTATAAATTTATTTACTCCTGGGCCCTGTATTACAAAGAGTTGATATCAATCGCTAGGCGCTTACGCAGCGGGGTGTTTTGGGGGTTGAACCCCCGCGCTCATTTTTGTTTATGTGTGTGATTTTTGATGAAACCCCCCCCCCTAATTTTTTTTTTTTTAATAATTTTTTTTTTAAATAACTAAATATCGGTCGGCCAAATTTGGACATTTCAAGGCCCCCCCCCCCCCCCGCTTATTCAGCGCATTCAGCTGGATTCGGCTGGCTGAGTCGTTGCGTTCTTGCCACTCATGCTCTCACTATTGGTCTCTCATTTACGATCTTTAGATAATATTTTTTCCTTCAGTAATGAACTATCCAACAAGGTAAATTCTGTAGATTTGTGACCACGATTTGCACGTCCCGTGAGAAACCAATGCCAGGAATGGTTAAATGAACTCGTGGCATGAACAGCCTGCCATAGTTAAGCTCGACCTAAAGTCAATCTTAGTGTTTGTGAAACACTCCCCAGCTACATCAGATTAATCCTTGATTTCAAGGAGATGATATCTGAATAAACAAAGAAGGGGTCTTTATTAATCATGGCCTAGCCGCCTTTTACATAGTAATTAGACGCCAGTATATACCTGCCGCAAAAAAAGACAAACTTATGTCGGCGAATATTTGATTAATGCGAAGTTATTTGCTTCTGTTCGTTTGAACTATTCGACTATTAAATTTCCTCGCTAATCTCTCCGACAACCCCCCCCCCCTTATTAAAAAAAATTTTCTCCACGCACTCCCTCCTCCCTACCACTTTCTCTGCATCATTTTGATATATAGACAGATTACGGTAGGATCGTTGCTATTTTTCTGAGAGTCAAATTTGTTGTGGAGATGATTAATGATATGTATTCCTCGACTTAAGTAAAGACTCATATTACTGTTACATCAAATTCCGTTGTTTAGTGGAAAAATTTGGGCAGTTTTTTAGGCAATACATCATACAACACATTTTTAGCAATGTCTATTTACATGTTTCAGTTTTACTTTACAGTTTCAGTTTATGTTTATGTTTCATAATACACATGAATGAATTTTACAATGTTTACATAAAATAAAAGGTACAAAGAACAAACATGAATTCTATTGTCAAATATAAGAAAAGAAGATACGTATCTCATATCTACTAAATTGCACGGAGTGTTGATTTGAAAAGAAAAGATTGAATGAAAGAAAAATTGAAAATATGGAGGGGTCAAAGGTCAAATTAAGCACCGCTTGTAAGTTATAGACACCACAGATATAGTCTTGGAAAATAAATGGTAGGCCAATGCATTCATGCATGAAACTAAATCACAGTGCGATATGCTACATGTAATTACATGTATTAAATTGAGAGGGGAAAAATGCTCGATTTTTATAAACTCTTTCAAGGTACTGCGTGGTTATGACGTGTTGCCAAAAATAGGACTTTGTAAATATTAATACAGGGCAAATATGCAAGTACAGGGATTTTTTTCCCCTATGATATATATATATGAGTATGACTCAAGAGCGACTTAAATAGGAAGCACAAAACTGGTAGGTATTGTGCAAATACCAAGCGCTGAAAAAGACTGTACATGCTTATTGTGTTAGAATACGTGTTAAGCGCGTTGCGGATAAAGAGTGGCGCATCGTTGGATTTTGCAGCCATTAATCGGAATAAAACAATGAGATTAGATTCAAAAGGGATATAATTTGATCCCGTTTTGCTCATGATCGCAACAGCGTATCCATATTGATAGCGACGCTTGTACTCGCCCGCGTGTGGATACTTACAAATCCACCTTTATTTTACATGACAGCAGCCATATGCCAAACTATGAGGCTTATATAGGCCTATAGTCTCCAGCACTTTCAGCTAGGAACGTCATTGAAAAAATGGACTGTCATTAAAATAATTATTTGCTGATTTGGGTAGCTGAAATTTCTCTCAGCCGCTTTGCCTTTTCGCCTGTCTATGATAGCTTGTGCTTGCGACATGGATGGAAATATGGAGGGAAAACGATCTATTGTTGGAATCGTCATTCAGGTATAGGCGTGAGTGCTCGGTGTGGATATTATGTACGATAATTATGTATTTTCATTGTAAGTCTATCAATGGTCTGAATGATTGCAGGTATATTTATAGCACGACCTGAGGTAATGTTTCTCTCAAATCATCGACCTAAGTGTATTAAATGGTTACCATGGTTACCAGGCAATGCATTGCTAGGAATGATTGCAGGGCATGCATGAAGATAATATACTTAATTAACTACACCATAGTATTATTATTAATAGTAGTAGTAGTAGTAGTAGTAGTAGTAATGGTGGTGGTATAGTAGTAGTAGTTGTAGTAGTAGCAGTAGTGGTGGTGATGGTGGTATAGTAGTAGTGGTAGTAGTAGTAGTAGTAGTAGAAGTATATAGTAGTAGTAGTAGTAGTAGTAGTAGTGGTAGTAGTAGTAGTAATGGTGGTGGTATAGTAGTAGTAGTTGTAGTAGAAGTAATGGTGGTGGTATAGTAGTAGTAGCAGTAGTGGTGGTGGTGGTAAAGTAGTAGTAGTAGTAGTAGTAGTAGAAGTAGTAGTAGTATAGTAGTAGTAGTAGTAGTAGTAGTAGCAGTAGTGGTGGTGGTCGTATAGTAGTAGTAGTACTACTACTACTACTACTACTAGTTGTGGTAGTATAGTAGTAGTAGTAGTAGTAGTAGTGGTGGTGGTGGTGGTGGTGGTGGTGGTGGTATAGTAGTAGTAGTAGTAGTAGTAGTACTACTAGTGGTGGTAGTATAGTAGTAGTAGTAGTAGTAGTAGTGGTGGTGGTGGTATAGTAGTAGTAGTAGTGGTGGTGGTAGTAGTAGTAGTAGTAGTAGTAGTAGAAGTATATAGTAGTAGTAGTAGTAGTAGTAGTAGTAGTAGTAAGTAGTAGTAGTAGTAGTAGTAGTAGTAGCATAGTAGTAGTATACATCACCATCATCATCATCGTCATCATTACCATCATCATCATCATTTTATCATCATTCATATCATTATTATCACTATGGAGATCGAGGGGCATGTAAAATTGAACGTGAAACAATTGAATGTGAAACATTTACGAGATGTCTAGCAACAACCCCAGGGCAAGAACAAACTGTACACAGTAACGCAATCACAATAGGCTTGCGTGACGCTAATGCTTTACGACAATAATATTTAGACCTGTCAAAAATCTAATGAAGAATAAAGTTGTACAGTGAAAAATGTCTATAAAGACCACCCAAGGGACACAAGACATAGTCTTTATAGTCAGGTGGTCTTTGTACAGGTTCCCAGTACATGATTCAATGAAAAACCATTTTCAAGCTAGGGAAACAAAGAATGTGGTCTTTGTAGACAGGTGGTCAATAAAGCAGGTTTGAATGAATATAATTACATGGACTCACATTTTTGTTGTTGACTGTCTGAAAACGGAATATTACAATTTCAATTATACTTCATTTCATGCATTATATTCCACATACTAAGAATCTTGCTCTACGATTGGTCAAAAGTAAATCACGTGATGAAAGATAGATCGCCCATTATTGATGGGAGAAGCAAAAAGTTCGTTACACTGTGTAGATAGTACTACTATCTACACAGTGCAACGCACTTTCACTGAAGATAGAGGTACTATCTACAAAGGGCAACGCACTTTCACTGAAGATTATCCAAAAGCGCACTAAAACAGGCGTAATTAAGCGCGCATTATATTACCAACGAGCGCAATTAAAACAAACACATGCGCGCACCGTACCCTCAAGGGGTTGGGTTAAACTAACCTTTTTGGTGTGAATTTGGGTATGGTGTCTTTTATATAGATGCATACACGTCCTTTTCTTTTTGTAGTTAAAATGTTTTAGATGTGGAATATAAAGCAAATAATCACCTTTTTAATTTTAGAATATGGCAAACTATCACTTCCTCGTCGATCATAATGTATACGCTATCTTTGTTACCTTTATTTATAATGTTTAGGTTCCTTGGACACCCTTCCTCCTTGCATGCATTATAATAACACTGGCTCCGGCCTTTCATTGTCAAGGTATGTAAATCCCGATTGCACTGACTACGATCCGACTACGATGTGACTACGATCTTACTACGATACAAATTTAGCAGAATTAGCAATAGCATTTGATACGAATATTCGCCCATGTAAAATCTAAGGGTGGTTTTCTCGAAAGCGGACTAACTTTAGTCCATGGTTTAATCCAGCGATTAAGTATGAAATGCCAAGTGTCCATATGAATATATTTTTGATTAAATTAATATGTCCCTAAATTATCATGGTAAAATAACGATATCATAGTTATATTGTTGTTTATTAATTATGTTATTATATTTTATTTTAATTTATTGTTAAATTAAACTATTCAAAAACATATTCATATATGGACACTTTGCATTCCATACTTAGTCGGTGGATTAAACCATGGACTAAAGTTAGTTCGCTTTCGAGAATACCACCCATAATAACGAAGGATCTGACTAATCATTATGATCTTTAAGCAAATATAAATTCCAAGGGATTTCAAGCTTCCTTGGAGGAGGAATAGCTAAATCGGCGGAGAATCGTAGTGACATCATACCAATAGTGCGGTTGTCTACGATTGAAAGGCGATACGGCTTTCATTCTGACTGGAATGCTTAAATGAAGTACAATTCCGGCCGTTAGTATTCTTATCATTATTTAGAACCTTAAGAAAAGATGGTAATGTTGATTTAGATTTCGAGATCTATAATAATTGGCATTCCTGTAAAGTCGGATCACAGTTGGATCGCAGGAGGATTGTATAATGAGCGGCAGGCTTAGCCATAGTAACCATAGTACAGACACCTTATCAAAATTCAATATTTTAATATTAGCCTTACAATATTACTGCTTGATTAAAATTAAAAATGATTAATTGCCCAGATGCTCTTTGGTAATGGCTTATCAATGTCGTGAATTTATATAGTTTTATTCCATTTTTTTTTCTTCAAGTTTAGAATGTCGCAAAGATTGGTAATTTTTAGGGAATCCAATAATGATATGGTATGAATTCATTCAGCTTCATTAATTCCTCAATTATGACTGTTCAATCTCTTACTATACCACAGAAGATCAGTGAGTTTCTACAATCAGATTTTTATTTTGCCCTCCTTCTTTCATCCTTTCTACTTTATTTCAAAGCGTCCTGTCCTAGTGGTTCGATTGGCCGACTGGAATACTGCTACACACTCCATAGTGAGCCGTTGTCATGGCGACTCGCAGGGTCGCAATGTGGCTTTGATGGCGGTTTCTTGACCTCCATAGTGAACAGACAGGAGAATGACTTTCTTGTAGGTAAGGTGATGTTCAACTTTTTTGGGGGGTCTGCTGCTGGGAGCTTCGACAAGTAACATTTAGGCGTAAGAGGGGAAATGTATGTAATATTAAAAGGACAAGGAGGAGAAGAGGGCAGGATGCGGAGAAGTGTGAGGAGGAGTAGAAGCGGAGGAGGAAGAAGAGTAGGAGGAGGGGCAGGAGGGGGAGGAGGATGAGCAGTAGTAGTAGTAATACTAGTGGTTGTAGTATTGGTAGTAGTATAGTAGTAGTAACAGCTGCAGTAACACGAGTAATAGTTATATGAATAATCATTTAAATTATTTTACACTTTGACTCCTCTTAAAGACGACGGAGTGTACGTCATTAATTTTCAACATACATACATAGGCCGTAATCAGGTTACATACCAATATGAAATATCCTTCAAGTTTGCGATTACTCAAATCGTGAAAGTTTGAATTCATCATTTTACAAGTTATTCTTAATGATTTTAAACTTTACTTATTAAACACCAACTATAATGTATACGCATCATAAAAACGAACGAATAAAGATAAAATAAATCAATACAAATATATATTTGTTGGGATCTTCTCAATTAGAATCCTTCGGAAACCTGACAAGTTTAGCATGGATAGGAATGGACTCGAGAGGGCGCTGGTTAGATGGGTCAAGTTCTCAGCTTTTTTACAATAAGTAAGTCGATGTGTGTAATTTAGTGTTTACTTCTCATGTATTACTATCTTAAAGGTAATACTAAGTTATTGAATTGTAAATAATAAACTCTTTATGTTGTATAGCTCCCTCTCAAGGTCAAGATATTAATTAAGCTATGAAACTATGGTTCTTGACTGACATCGACTGATTAGCTATTCCCGTGTTGAAATTATATATCACAAGTACATATTCTGAGATTTTCATGGTCGCAGCTATTGTTGTAGGGCCGTAGGCGCTATTCGAAATTTATCAAAATTTACCGGGAGCACCGGGAAATTGTTATATTAAATTTTTCTCGAAAGCAGAAGTGTTTTAGGGGCTACATTTTCTAGTACTCATAATACATCCACAGGGGCATCCAAATATATCAAAATTGTAAAGAATCACCATCCACCCAATTTTCAAAATTTCCCAAAACTTTGTATTACCTTTAAAGCAAATCTTGAGCTCTGGTATGGGAAACGTATTCTGAGAGAAGATTGCTATGATTTTTTCTGGATTGTTTATCCTGCCGTAAATTGGTTTTTCATATTGCTCCGGTTGTCTCATTTTCGCTTGCTGGACGTATATAGTAGACGACAATTGGCGGATTAGACGACACTTGGTAGTGAATTTGTATGTGAGATTGCTTTGCTAAATATAAAATACAAGAACTTTTTCCATATCTTTAAACTATCATTGATATCTGATAATTAAACAGTTATTAAAATGAACCTACCAAATTACATAATACAATGAAATACTTGACTTAAAGTAGGGGAGTTTGATGTGGTGCATAATTGCACCCCTCTGTAAATAATCGAATATTCATGTTTTTGATTACCTCGGCAAAATGTTTGCTTATCTTCAATGGAAAAATTACGGTGGGGGTTGGTTGAAATGGACATAATGGACCGATCAGAACTGATCTATTATAATTCATGCTTCTTATCCTTCGTGTGCTTGACCTAAAACCTTACAATCGCTTGGCTAACTGAGTCCCAAGTTCGACTTGTTTCACATGTGTTATATAGGCAATGGCGAGCTTGCAACCTATTTTGATCAAATTACGGTGGGTGAACTTTCAAAAGTCAATGAGACATGAGGGTTCCATTGAAAGGGCTAGTGATAACGTACGTCGGGGTGGTTTTTGGTAAAATTCTATTTACTATATTGACCAGAAGTCAAGTTTATCGTTGAATGCAGAGGAGTGGAAAACGACTTGTAGGAGGCGTATCAGGGATTCTTTGGAGTTGAATCCACTCCACATTATAGTGGAGTCCACTCGATAGTAGTGATTGAATCACTCTGTTTAGAGTGGATTTAAATATTTTGGATTCCACTCCAAACAAAGTGATCCCTATTTCCACTCCAGTACATTTCCACAAAATTTTCTTGTAATAATTTTATCATGTGTATAGTGTATATGTATATGTATAGTTACCAAGAAAAAATGAATTATGTACCTGCATTTTGTTGATACTTTATGAATAATATATGAAATACCTTTGTTTATCTTTTTGTTGGAAATGAAATCAATATGAATTGAATAAATATGAATTGGATTGACTTGAGAGTATTTTTCAAGTGAAATCACTGAAATGACAATTCCCTCTTATGATCACATTCCATTGCTAATTAGTTTGGATACCTTTCTATAGAATCACAGGTCTCTCCATTAGAAAAAAATATATTAAACTAGTTAGCTAACAATGTCATGTAATATAAACATTGCGGTGAAATTATCCGTTTACGGAATACACATTTCCCTATCTTTTTGTTTAAATACCTAGTCTAATATAGATAGGATTGGTTTTAGGTCTCCTATTCTCTATTTTCTTAGACTCTGATCATGTTTTACATATTCTATGGGCGAATATACACTGTTAACGACAGTGAAGAATGACGAATTGTATTTCTTTATTATCTATTTGTACAGCTTTAGATATGAGACGTTAAACACACATAGTTGTCCAGTGATTGACCTGGACAGAAACGGAAGATGGAACGTCTCAAGCTGTCTAGATTCTAGACTCGACTTTATCTGCAAGAAGAATAAAGGTTTGTTCTGAATATCTGCAAGATCTCCTCACCATAAAGCAATCCCATTACTCACTCCATCCTTCTGCCTCTACCATCCTAGAAGTCCCCAGAACCCGAACCACCCATTATGGGGACCGTGCATTTGTGCATGCTGCACCAAGTGCACCAAGCTGCTAGTGACATTCGAAACATTCAGGCCCGAATTCACAAAGCAAGGTTTGAGCTCAGACCAAGGTTTGACCTCAAACCTCCTTTTGTTTCGCCAAACCTCCTTTTGTTATTTACAAACCTGGTTTGTAAATAACAAAGGGAGGTTTGGCGAAACAAATGGAGGTTTGAGCTCAAACCTTGGTCTGAGCTCAAACCTTGCTTTGTGAATTCGGGCCTCAATGCCTAGAAACCTTTCAGAAACATGTTAAAACGGTTTTATTTACCCAGAGTTACAAATGATATAATGTTGTTAACATTCTGCAGAGAGAGATTTGTGTATTTTGTTTTGTATAGCGCCTTGAGTAAGTTATTAGATAAGTGCGCTTCATGAATATTTATCATTATTATTGTTATTATTATTATTATTAATATCTTGGAATGACCTCATTCCGACCTGTCCGAAAATATCAAGATATCCTTATTTCATTTGGTGATTGCACCTGATAACAATAATGATGATGCAGACATTTACAATGTTTGGCATATATCTACCCATTGTGCTCAAGGCGCTTACAATAAACAGATTAAATGTAATAACAAAATACTCTGAAAGTGCTTTAAAAAAACACTTGTTTTTAAAGCCCCACTGCACTACTGATAGCTATTTGCGCCCTCTATATAGCAAATAATGCCTAATTGGAGACCATTATTCCCCAAAGGTCCAATTTTTTTCTTATGTTAATGGTGGGCTTGATTTGATGATGTAACCACCTGTCGGTGACCATGCAGGGTGGTATAATCCCTCCTGGCAAACAAGTGCAGATAGCCAATACGTTTTTTTTAGGTTTTCTCTCCAAGTAATCTACAGTTTTACAATTTTCCTAGTACAAAAATGACGACGACAACAACAACATAAACACAATCAAGGTAGTATATAAAAAAGGAATTACTTTGGACGTAGGCGATACAATTCAAATCGAATAGCATACGGAACTGCAAAGGAGTGTCGAAGAAATTTGGGCAAATTCAAGCCAAATTGTCTCATAAGTTACACACCACATCTAATATTCTATTTGTATATCCAATCATTGTATCCAGTTCGCTTGCGATGGATCTTAAAAAAGACCAAATATGAAGTAATCGGTTATAATTGATGTCAATCTATGTTCATAACTTCACAATGCTTAGTAACATTATAGGACAGATCACCTATAGGACTTGCCTACCATCCATTTTCAAAACGATCATAATACAAACATATTTAGCTATATATACAAATATAGTTCTGATTCAAATATATTGTCATGTATTTAAGTTGTGGGGTAGTAAATAAAACGTCTTGAATTTCACAAAACGATATGGAAAGGTTATGACCTTTAGGAAAATTGTTTTCGATAACGTAGAAAACATGCTACAAACACACCAATGTTTGGTAACTATTCCAAAAAAACATTGGTAGAAAGGTCACATGCATTGTCCATTTTTACCTAATGTTGGTTTGAACTACTCCATTTTCTCAAGCTGGTGTAAATACGTTTCTACCCAATATTGGGTAAATTTTACCCCCTACTTCCTTTTGCGAAACATAGCTTTTAGCATACCTGTTCCCAATTGATTAGGTTGTGTTTGGTAACATGGTTACTGATTTTAACTGTTTTGTCTATTTAATTTCATTTATTAGCATGCCCTGCTGTTTTTTCTTAACATTACAGATGTTTCGGGTGGAAGAGACTCTCCTGCTCCTACAAACGGCGACGATGAAGAAGAAGTGGAGGGATCATCAGGAAAGTCTAATACCACACTCAAAACTGTGCTCACGTGGATTGGCGTCACCGTGGCCCTCGTGGTCATCGCTAGTTGCTCGGCAGGAAATGGCGCGGTGGGAAAGTGTTTTTGTAGCTGCTTTATCGATATGCTGGCTGGATTGTGTGGCTGCATAATCAAAATTCCGACTCGTTTGTGCGGGTGGATATATGAATGGTTATGCGTTATAGGACTTGCAATCCAGGTATGCTTTTATCGATGTCTAAGGTGTGGAGGCTTGTGCAAAAGGCAACAGGAAGGAACGGAAAGGGCGGAAAGTATATCATCCTATGAGTATGATCCTGAACCTCGAGGAGCGTTAAATTGCTTTTATCGATGTCTAAAGTGTGCAGGGCTGTGCAAAAGGCGACAGGAAGGAACGGAAAGTGTGTCATCCAGTGATCCTGAAATTCGAGAAGCGTTAAATTGGCCTCCGCTAGCCGAAACAGGACCGGAGGATCAATCACGAGCCACGCCATCAGCGCCGGCAGAGCCACACACAGACCCGCCTCCAGCGTATGGGGACGTCACATCTAATCGTCCGCAAAGTACGCCAACAGCTCCACCGCCGTCACCGCCTCCTGACAACAGAATTGCGCCTCCGTCCTATGACGCAGCTTTGGATCCAACTTTTGATATTCGACCTACAAACATTAGAGATGAGACGACAGCAACCCCATCCTACGAGTCAGTAGCTAGATCTTAAAGCAGTTTATAATAATTTGATAATTTCATAGATTTTAGTGGACGTCTCATCCTAGAGATGGTATAGTTCCTCCAGGGGGGTGTTTCACAAAGATCCTAAGTTGAACTTATCTCTAAGTTGGACTTCAAAATTATGGAAAGCCGTTAGCATCTTTGAAAATATTTAGTAAAAAAAGTTATTTAAAAACGCATAAAATGTTGATTCAAATCATTCATACTTTGTATTTTCAAGGAGATTTCAAGTTCTAGATGTGAAGTTTATGAAAAGTCTAAAATACTTAATTTTGTGCCTTTGAATATATTTAATTTTAAGGCTACGAAAGGCTCTTCATAATATTTAAGTCCAACTTAGAGTTAAGTTCAACTTAGGATCTTTGCGAATCACCCCCAGGACCTATACGGTTCGTTCGAGCTTCCTTTACTCTTTAGGAGAGGAGATCAACTTTCTGGGGAGTTATATTATTATTATTATGGATCACTTCACTGGCGTGGAAAGCCACTTTCAAAGAGTAATTCAGCCAATAGCTGGAGTGGAATCCACTATTTTTTTGGAGTGGATTTAATTCTGAAGGAAGTGTTCCCAAAAATTATGACTCGTCAAAAAGTGGATTCTACTTATCATGCATCAAGAGAGTAGAATCTTCCAAAGATGAACTAGAGGCTAAAGATCGAGGACCGTCTTTGGCCCACAAAAGACTTCCAAACATTGGGGTCCCACTACTTAAAGTGACTCGGTTACATTGCCTCAGGTTCTCAAACAGAATCCTGGATTTAGCTCATGCTGCAATCACATTATAAGGCCAGTCAGGAATCCCAATCCCATGACTTTTATAAGCCGATCGCCTGTCTGACTATCAAGATATTTATGATTGGAAATCGAAATTTCATTTTTCGTTTTCCTAACGGTTTTTATAACACTACAGTCTATTGGGGGAAATGAGTGTGGTAAAACCGGTCCCTCAAAGATTTCTACTTTTTTGAGGCACTTCATGATCATTTTGAAGCGCAATTTTGTTCAGGGCTTCAATATTACATATCACAGACACTGCTGACACGTAGGGCCATGTATCTCAGATTTAACATTGTTAAAAGATGCCTTTAATCTATTCCAAATCTGGCTTTGAGTTCTCGAAGTTTGTCTTAGATGTAATTGTATAACTCAAAGTTAATTGCAATCAGCCAAAATCCACCAAGAGACGTTGCGATCCTCCATGCATGGGAGCACTGTGGTACATGTACATTGTTCAAGGGACTACTCTCATACCAGAGGTCCTGTGTTTTGCCACATATTGGGGACTTTTAGATTTGCACGTCGACATAGTGGACTGCTACGTGTGACGTCCTTTTAAGACACTAAACGGATGTCACCCGTAGCAGTCCACTATATGTCGACGTGCAAATCTTAAAGTCCCTATTCTTTCATCTCTAGTATCCATGTGTACGTTGGTACCTGGGCCCTGCTTCATGTAACATGTTAACAATAACACTAGTGCTAAATTTCTATGACCAATATTCTCTTAGCCAATTAAATGTATCGATTTCAGTAGCTTATAACAGCTATTGTTACTTGTTACTGATAACAAGTTTGATGAAACAGGGCCCTGGGAATTGCTATAAAGTATAAAGAAATAACACTGCAGAATTGATGTAATATTTCATGTTATAACTGTTCGATTTAATTGGACACTTTGCTGTCGTTGTCTCATAGAGGCCATATACCAAAGGTAATATTCCTAATGAAATGTCTGATTTAAAACCGAAATTTATGAAAATCAATTACCCCTACCGTTCCCTTTCTTTTACTAGTGTTAAGAAGAAGAACATTTCTTCAAAAAATAATGAGCAGGTAGAAAGTACTATGGCAATTCCAATTTTACAAAATAAACAGCACAATTGCAATTACTCATGATCAAGTTAATTTTACATTCTTAAATTGACGAAATGTTTATATCAACAAAAGTGCAAAGATTCGGCTCGCTTGTAACCGTTGATGGCTTTCAAAATTAATGTTCCTTTCTCCTTAACATCTTAAAGTGTTTCTTGTGCTTACGATCATGTTCCATTTAATTAATGTATATCTTGTCTTTGTTATGTGCATTCTGCCGATTACACACTTGTATTCTTCATGGCACCGCCCGTCATGGACCTGGCTTTTAAATGTGTAATTCTTTGTTTATTGTTGTTACGACTACCATTTCGAATAAGGGCGAGACAGCTTTTATCTCATTAATCTTCCTAAATTGTCTGTACCATAGTCATGATCGTGATGGTAGTCATGTTTCGAGCATTTATATACATTCACGAATGATGTCAACCTGATAACTTCCATTTCTTTACTTCGAGGGTTCAGTGACACAAAGACGTAACTCCTTATTTTGCAAAAATGTGTATTTGATATCAAAACGTTCAGATAAATGTGGGCTTTCCACTTAACACAAATACTTAACTCCACCCAACACCCCGATTGGAGTCAATGGCTAGTGAAGCATAGACTTAACTCCTGAAGGCCCAAGTGCTCAGTGACACCTAAACCACTTTTTCTCAAAATGGCCAAAATGGAGTTACGTTTTTGTTTCACTGACCCCTCTACTTGTTGTTGAGAACTTAAGAGTAAGAGGCTTTTATAAACATAGTATACATTCTTATTTAAAACATGTTGTGGAGTGAAAATTGGTTTCAAAATATGCGTTCAATTCCAGTTCTGTCATGTTGGCAATGTGTTATGCATTGTTCAAAGTCAGACAGACCTATCACAATAAATCTGCATTTTCTCTACAATAATATTAATGCTAACGGTTAGTTTTGTTAGTATTTCTTAGAAAAGCTGAATCATAATGTATGTAGTATTTCAGTGTGTCTGCCTCTGTGTGAACTAAATATGACAGGTGCCGCTTTTACCCTTAATAAGTGCATTTCCTCTTCTTAGAAGAGCACCTTTTCATTTCTGATGAGTGCCCCTTTTGAGGTATGAAAAATGCCATTTGATTAGTTTGCAGATTGCTTTTTCATTTACTTTCATTTTTGAATACATAATAAAGTTAGTATACATTAAAATGTCTTGGACAGTTCTAATAATAAGTATCTCTTTTACTTTCTCAGATACCCTTTTACTATTTAATAAGTGCTCCCTGTTTTGAGTTGTGTCCCAAAGGCGAAGGAACTTACGAGAAAATAAGAAATTATTGATATTTTTGTAAACGACAAACGGGGGAATTGTCTATGACTATGTCATTGTCCAAATCCACTGACCAAGCTGATTTGCACAGATTTAGTGAGCTTATATCAGTTTAAACATTCGGAACTCTCTCATTTTTATTACTAAGGTTGGATTGCCCTTTTATGCGACGGTTGCACAAAAGCTCTTTCAACGTCAGACTGAATTTGAAGTAAATCTCAACATTTATTTGTACAGCAAAATGAACTATTGCGATACCTCATAAAAGTGTGGATGGCTCTTGTGTTGTTGTAAGTTTTAACATATCCAGAAAACAGAAAAATGATCTAGTACGGAGAAAGATTCAAACATCTTACTAAATTTTGAGGAGGATGACATAACGACTCGCTCACGATAAACAATATTATCTGCCTAAGAATCCGGAGTACATTTCATATATAACAGTGGTACAACTATGTTTCACAAGCTCCCTCTCGAGTTAAAACTGCTGGCCGTTTTTCCTTTTTAAACACGTCCCCCCCCCCCCCCCCCACCCATTTTGAAAAATAGCCCGACTGTCAGGTATAATTTACCGAGCGGCCATTTTGAGTGGCCATTTTGAAAGAAAAAAAAGGGCCTCCTCCTGTCTATTTATCAAAAAATAGGACGCTAAACATTTTTTTTTAAAATTTGAACTTATAGCACAGTGCAAACAAAATCAACTGCCAGTAACCGATGTCTATTGCTTAATAATAACCAAAAGTTAAAATATAACAACCAGCATTGCATGATTATCTTTGTGTATAGCGATTTCTTAAGTGCAGAATAACATACATGTACATTTAAAAAGTCATGATCGTTATAGCAACTTTCACATTTCCAAGTCTGTTAGATGAGCAAGTATGAGCAATGGCACGAGTAGAAAGGTACATGAAATACATAATTACATAGCGACAAAGATTAAATTAAATACGAATATAGGGATATAAGAACATTCTGGAAAGAACAGCATTCCTGATGGACACTAATGCATACTCTGTCCAACATAACAAGGATGCATAATGAAAGGTAAAGCCCATCTGACATCACGTTGATAAAGAAAGTGTGAGAAACGGGGAATAAATCTAAAACAATAAGATACATTAATGTAATTCTAAAGCTTTTAAGTCCCCTATAAATGAGCAATTCTAAATGCGATTGCCTCTGCATTTGTTCTTTGTCGTAAATGTCCCCAAAATATCTTATTTAAAAAAAAAAGTTTTGATAATAGTGTATTTTTTTTTTCAAACACAGGGGGACCCATGAGAACATGTTTACAATTTCAAATTTCGGCAACAGCTTTGACAAAGAACATTGCTGGGTGATGTTTATTTAAACGTTTAGTACAAGGCCAACATAGAGTAGCTGAAAACTCACACATTTTTAGAATTGTCAATTTATAAAGACCAATTTTTCTAATGTTTCTGCATTCATTAAAGTTAGTGAGGTTCCTTTCTAATACACACCATTTAATTTATATGGAGTTAGATAGGATTGACACAAATGTCTATTAACAATATATTAAGGACAGCAAATCGAAAAATGGAATTTCCTCTTATGATTATGGGTAAAATATAAATACTAGTTTGAATATTCAGACAGTGATCTGAAATCCATTGTTGAAAATGAAGGAAAAACATTCAATTTATTTAACAGCAATATATACAACAATTCCATTCCTAGAATAATTATCTCCTACTGTAAAATAATCTTTTAGTCCACAATGATGAAATTGTGTCTACATCTTTTATACATTTACAACAGCTACCAAAAAAGTCACATTCACATGTAGAGTCATGATCAACAACACAATCTTGAAAGATTAAGACGTCAGAAGTATTTTTTTAAAAGGTTACTTTTTATATTTTAGAAAGGGTCAATCTTTCAAATTGTTATACATAATCTAGGAATATCATTTCTAAAACATT